TACCAATGGTCTGTATAGTAAATATAGTAAACTTCACAATTTTAGTTATAAGAGTCAAAGAATAAATAAATTTAATATAAAAATTAATACATATTTATTTAATGTAAAGAAAGTTTTTATTAAGATTTTACCTTCAGACTAGTGGAGGGTTGTGGAGGGTTGGATATGCAATGATGTAATAGTTTCTCCACTCTAACGAAAGATTTTGTTACCGTATACTTTTAACACATTTGTTAATAAGTATTATATAACTGTAATTCTTAAGAATATTTTTATAAAAAAATGTGTCATAAAAAATATATAATATATAATTATTTTAAATTTTATTAATGAATACCTTGCTACGGTTGTTAACACTCTACTACAAATCTCACTAACCAAAGTTTTTAGGCCTCGAAGTCATCTTAAACATGGACGCACATTGTAAAGTTTTTTGGCAACAAGTTAAAAAAATTAATTTTTTACTTTTTGGGCAAATTACATATACCTCTTTCGAGATTTAGCTAAATTACCGATATTTCTTGAGGTTTCGAAAATTATAGATACCCCTTTGAGGTTTATATTTTCATAACAAATTGTTTTCTGAGGTTTTTATTTTCATAACAATTTGTTTCCTAATTTGTTATGCAAATAGTACTTTCAGGGAGGTATCTGTAATTTCTCAAACCTCTGGGGGGTATTTGTAATTTTGCTAAATTTGGAGGGAGGTATATGTAATTTGCCCAAAAGGAAAAAAGTCAATTTTTTTTATCAATTTCCCAAAACGCTCCTGGAAATGTATATAATAAAGAGTGGACTTTAGAATAAAAAGAAATGAATACTGAAAGTAAAAGCTAAACAAATGTTATATAAACAAACAAACGTTATAATTTTTTTTTTATTCATTTTACAAATTGATATGTCATACAATAAAGAAATTTTAGAATCTAAAATACAACTCCCTTCAATAATGTGATAAGTGGCACACCCATGAGTAAAAAGAAAAAAATTGTAAAATTTGTTAATTTATGTACCATTAGGCCCCGTTTGTTTGGGGTTATAGGTAGATGATTGAGATTGATAGTAAGGTGGGATTCTATATGGGGTGTTTGTTTTGAGAGACGGGGAGGGGACTCCTAATCCTTCAATATTAGGATAGGTCTTGGAAGAGGGATTTGAATGGAAGATGTAGAGATGATATTAGAAAAATAGTCCGAAGGATTAGAAATTTTTTATTTATTTTTATTTTTATTTTTTACATGTTGTTTTTAACATTAATGTTTAATTTTTTATATTTTTTATTAAGTAAACATCATTGTTTTATTTGTTTTACTTTTTTCTGAAATTTTTTTATTTCTTTTAATTTTTTACATGTTAGGCATTTTTTTTTGAATATTAATGTTTAATGTTTTTGTATTTTTTATTTGTTTTATTATTTTATATAAAAATAATTTAACAATCCTTACACTAACAACTGTTATCAAAACAAACACAATTTTACTTAATCCTCTCACTATCAATCTCCTCACTAATAATTTCCTCATTATGAATCTCCTTCATTTTACTTCTGAAAACAAACGAGGTCTTTCTTCTTATAGTTAGCCCTAATTTTTGGTTGAAAACGTGATTATTTAGTAGTTCAATGCATCATGTAGCATTGTTTACGTGATGTTTTAAATCAATCAAGTAGTGAAATTTTTTATAGATGAGATATATTGACTCACATTTGCTAGGTGATTGGGAGACAAAAAAAAAAAAAAAAAAAAAACTCGCTTAATATATGTTGCAATTTTTCTTTTATCAGGAACAACACGTATTTTTGATTGAATAAAAATTTACTTTCAGGTTGAGAATTTTCTTCAACACTTGATCCAAAAACTATTGTCAGTGATAAGATTACAACTAGTGACGAATGTCTAACTATTGAATTATAACATTTGCATCAACTACTTGATGAAAAAATACTAGAAAAGATTCATATCCTTATTTGCAACCCTAATATAATGCTAGTGTATAGTATAAATGGCCGGCAAATGCCATAAATATTCTTAGAATTTATTTAGAATATATAACTTAGGGGAGAAGACAAGTCACAAGCTTCAAACAACTTGAAGCCCTTTTGTCTCCATCACCTAATCAAATTAATTAAACATATCATACATATGTAGCTAGCTAGAGCATCCCATATTGCCCACTTTGAAAGTTGAAACACAACACACACTATATGGAAGCATAGTGAGGAGTGGCGATAATAAAAAGGGCTTTTTAATTAAACATATTGTATACATATGTAGCTAGCTAGAGCATCCCATATTGCCCACTTTGAAAGTTGAAACACAACACACACTATATGGAAGCATAGTGAGGAGTGGCGATAATAAAAAGGGCTTTTTAATTAAACATATTATATACATATGTAGCTAGCTAGACCATCCCATGTTGCCGACTTTGAAAGTTGAAACACAACGCACACTATATGGAAGCATAGTGAGGAGTGGCGATAATAAAAAGGGCCTTTTAATAATTAATGCAGTTATTTATAATTTACTCTCCAATGGAAAGCCTGCAAAATTTTCATAGCCAAGCCAACCAACATGCTATCAAGTTGGGATGCACGCCACTTGGCATTTCATTTACTGATTTGCCCTTACAAAGCCATGCACATTGTTATGCTGTTGCTGTCACTTTCTCATGTGTTGGGCTGATAGTTAATAATATAAAACCATTTGCAGGCTCTGAAATTGTATGGGGGTGTTTATGAGCCACAAAAATCAATCAATTTGGTAGGCAACAGACGGAAACACGTACGCCTTATTAGGTTTGAGGATTTGAGTAGAAATTTAGAAGAAAAAAAAAAGGATGTGAAATTAAGTGACATGCAGATATATTTTATTCACATTTTACTTACCTTTCCTTTTTTTCTTTTTAAATTCCTCATCAAATCTCTTAATCAAACACAGTATTAAGCTTTTGCCTTCGTGACATTTGGCATTTTAGTTCTTCAATGTACAAAATCCGATCACGAAATCAAATTTCTTTTGCATGAGATGAAATTTACACATTCAATAGGTCTTATCTTATCTAAAAGCGTTATGTCCAATTGTTTGATTAGAAATTATATACTTCAAAACTTCTTGGTGTTTTAATCTCTTAACCTGAATTTTTCTTAATTTTTTTACATTCCACTATTTTCTATGGGACTCAATAGTCTCTCGTATAAGATATATAAAATATGTGAAAATTGTCAATTACTTTCCCAAACAAACACAATCTCAGAACATACAATGGGTTAAAGTATCTAAACTTTATACAAAATTTATTTTTATCTGACATGACATTTTACATGTCATTCATGTATCCATAAATATGATACTTCAAAATTCAATACAAAAATTTGATCATCACAATATTATTCTTTGAATATAATTCTCAATTAATATGTCTCTTTGAATAGTTGAGTGGCCAATGAAGAGAAACATTTGTAAGTAATATATAAATATTAGGTCTTATTATTTAAGATTAACTGAAATAATATGAATAAGAGAATATAGGGAGGTTATATTGACAAGGTAGCCCCCCACTACATGTGCCAATGTCAATGCCTCTTCTCTCTTTCTCTCTCTCTCTCACACACACACATTGCATTTGGACATCTCACGCAATGTGCCCACATGCTTGGCTTGGCTTACCAATATTCACCCAAACGTGTACATAACAAACACTTTGAAGATCATAGAGAGTTAAGTCACCCACCCTCTCTCTCTCTCTCTCTCTAAAAGCATAACCTCCCCTTAATGACAACAGCTTATATCTCACGCAACATTTTAATGGGAAATTAAATCAAGTTGATAGCCTATAGTTAGTGAGCTACCAAAACAAAACCACAGCAGAGAATAAGAAAAAAAACACTAATATTCCTAGACTTCATACCCAACTGTACATGTGTGACATAAGATGACAGTCTCTATTTTTGGTACACTAATGGACAGTGGATAATATATAGGGGAAATTACTATTCTGGAGATATTTTGAACAATTATTACATAATAAGACAAAAAATTATAATTATAATTGTTAATATTTATATATTTTATCACTTTTTTCGTAATTTTTTCTCTGACACACTACTAGTGTGTGATTTTTTCATATATATATATATATATATATATGTTGAAGATTGACTCTGATTTATCAAAGTCAACAATAACTGCTAATTAAAGACAAATGAAGGAGCAGAAGTTTCAGAATAAAGATTCAATTGAGTTACTCTATGGTAAGGTGACTGATCTTTAGATCTTGTTGGTGGCTGCTGTAAATGTTGTCGGTGGCCTGTCGATGGCTATGGAGATTTTGGCTCTCCCATTGTATCTATAAAAGAGTTGTGAATGGGAGAGGTTTATGTGTGGTGAATTGAAGAGAAAATACAGAGAAGTTTTTTGATATGAGTTGATGACTTTTTAATTTTTTTAACTAAAAATGACACTTACCGAACGAGACCTTAATTAAGTGACTTGAGAAGAAAGGAAGAGTCATCAATTGATTGATGAGGGGTGTGTAATGGGTGGGCTGAGAGGCTTTGAGGGCTACAAGTAGCTGAGTGAGGTGAACCATTCACAAATTAGCATCAACATGGAAACATTAACTGGTTTTATAAGCAAAAAGAAAATACAGATAGGTACACATGGGAAAAAGGCAGTTACCCAACTCAGCTTTCCTATCCATTTATTCTTGTCATTTATTGAAACACACCACAGACCTAGTGAGTTTTTTTTTTTTTTTTTCATTATATAATAAAAAAGGAAAAAACTAAGTACTTCAAACAATAATATTTTAAAAGTTGTTTAAAAATATATTTAACTCACATTTTATTTTTAATGTTTTTTTTTTTTTAAATACGTAGTATTACTGAAGAAAAAAAAAAATAATAACATCAACAACAACAACGAGAAGAACCTAATCCACGACTTTCGGTTGTGGTGGTGGTGATGCCAAACCCTAACCATGACATCCCTCTCCCACTAGAAAGAAATAAATAAATAAATAAATAAATAAAGATGCTCCATCACTCACTTTTCGTGAATGAAAGGCAACCATGAATACTAACCACTTACTTACTCAAAGAATTCAAGTAGATCATCAACATTGGGAAAGAAAAAGAAATAAAAATAAAAAAATAAACAACAAATTCAAAGAATTAATAATTATTATGCGTAATGGTTGATTAATAATAGAAGTAAATAATTCACATTTGATCTGGTCTGAACCCTTTTTTTTTGGTGTATTTTTTCATTCTCCTCCTGCTAGTAATGGCAATCGACCAAGGCCGCCGCGGAGAAGACGTGATGTGGTTTGTTGGTTGTTGTTGTGAACTGAAACTTATTGGTATCTCTATGACGATGATGAACCTGATGATGATGATCATCCTCTAATGGTGCAGGTAGGTTGAGATCCAGTGTTAACCTGTGTCTCGGTTTCTCACTTTCTTCTTCTTCTTCCTGAGATTCCATAATTACAGTATTGCTTGTATCGATGATGCTCATGGTGGTTCGAGTATTTGGAGCCGCCCTGTGTCGTCTCATATGACCGCCCAAGGCTTGCCCGGACGAAAACTCCGATCCGCATATCGAACACTCATGTACCTTGGACTTATTCTGATTGTTATGTGATTGTGAAGCTTTTGTGGCAATTGGAAGCGGAAGGGGTGGGCTGATCTTGATAAATTGGCTCTCTTCTTCTTCATCATCGTGGTTCGATGGCGGTGGAGAGATCGGAAGCGGTGATCTCTTCTCTTCCACGGTGGTTTTGGGCTTTTTATGACTGGCTCGGTGGCCACCGAGAGCTTGGAAGGAAGGGAAAGTCCGGTTACATGTCTTGCACTCGTAGACATAGAATCCAGGTTTGCCAGCGGTGGTTGTGGCGGTGGTTGTACCCTCCTCAACCTCATCGGCGGCCGTGGCTTCGACTTGCTTGGAACCAACAACACCGCCTTGGGCTAAAAGAATTAGGCAATTAGCCATGTCTTCGTCTTCGTCGGTGGCCGTAGATATCTCACCGGAAGATGCGGGAGATTGAATGGACCAATAACCACCGTCGGCGCTTGAGAAGCTAGAGGTGACCGCGGCGGCGGGGCCGAAGGGGGAGGAAGGCCTGGGGCGCTTGGTGCGCTTACCTTTGATGATGAGAGTGTGATCGTTAGAGGCTGTGAATTCTTCTGGGGATTCCATGTCCTAAAAGAGCACTAAAAAGAGGTGAATTGAGAAGAGAAGAAAGTAAGAGAGTATGAGAGAGGGAAATTAGAGTGGGCAATGGAGGAAGAGAGGTGGGAGAGAGGGGGATGATATATATAGGAATTAGGAAGGAGTGAGGGAAGTGAGGAAGAGAGTGAGTGAATGTGAAAATGGTGAAAAAACAAACAAGGGAGTGTTTGGAGTCAAAAAGCAGCTCTCGTGAACAGTTACCGTGAATCGCGAGTCTCCCTCCCACCAGTCTTCCTTGCGTTTTCAACTTGTTTAAAAATAATAAATTAATATAAACAATTAAAAAAAAAATCATTTTAGAGCATCTCCAATGCACTAGGGATATAATACTTGTTAGTTAAAATGCCTAGTGTGATTTACTTTTTTCAATTCCAATGCACTAGGCATATGATTAGGCATTTTGGCTCAACTCATATTCACTAGCTACATGTAGCTAGCCTTCAACGCTAGGCAAAATGTATTCAATCATTAGGATCATTTCCCTCCATCTTTGTTGTTGACGTGGCATTTTATAAAATTAATAGTATTTGGATAAACAGCTAAAATAAAGAGTATGGTTGGAGTAAAAACATAAAACAGTTGATAGGCAAAATAAAATATATACTTTATAGTAATATTTAAATAGGTAAAATGCCTACTACCATTGGAGATGCTCTTACTTCCCTATCACATTATCTTTCTCAGTTAAAATAAGTCATACTATCAATTTGTATCATTTTGATCTTTTTTTAATTTTATTATTATTATTATTTTATATTTATTTTGTACTAAAGATTCTTATTGATATGAATTGGTAGTTGAATTTGGTAAACTGTAATATTTTTTAGTAGAGGGTTAAAGTAATATTTAGTGATAGTTTTAAAAAAATAAAGTGTAATTTACCCAAAATCCTATTCATATAGAAAATTCATACAAAAAATAGTGTAAGAATAACATGCTAATGTCGTGTTTGTAAATAAAATCATCTACATTGATTTTCTCTTTTTCTTTTTTTTATGCAACATTGTTTTGTAAAAAAAAATTATATAAACTTTAGATTTGTATATTTTTACTCTTTGAAATGCGGAATAGAGCCAAACTTATTAATATAATAAGTGCTACATCAATCTGTGAAGAAAAAAATTATGTAGCATTTTTCAAAAAAAAAAAAAAAATTGTTTACTTGCACACAAACTAATCATAAAATCGAATACAATCCTTTTTCATTGGTGTGATGCTCATAAAAAGGTACAATTCACCTCACAATAAAAGAATTTGAAAAATACTATCCATATATAAAATTCATAAAAGAATAATATGACAATGCTGTTTTAGTAAATAAATATCATTTTTGTGAGTATTTTGATTTAAAGTGAATAGTTGCATTGAGCACATTGTTATGTATAGAAATTATGTATAAATTTTTTTATCTATATATCATTATATTCTATTCTTTAATTATTTGTTACTAAAACATTTTTAAAAAAAATAAAATAAATGTGATCTCAAAGTACCTTGTACTTTTTAAGTGCTTTAAATGTGCCTTGCCAGTTTATTAATTGTGCCTAACAACATTTAATGGAAAAAAAAGGAAAGTCCCATATTATCACTCTATTTATTTTTGCGTTATTGATTTCATTTTTGAAAGAAACTATATATTAAGAAAAAACTGATTAGTGCTACATTATTTGTTGTCAAGTAGGATAATATATGTCACCACTCCCAAAAATTTACATACAATTTTATTATTAATTTTTTTTTTTTTTTTTCCAAATCCAAAAGATGTCAAACTCAAGCAACTATTAAACGCTCAAAAAAAATAAAAATAAAATGACTTGCAATTAATAATGCCATATTATATTAATGTAAAAGTAGCTAATTATATAGAGTTGAAGAATTAGAGGTGGTAACGTATTTGAAGCCGGTTTCACACTGTAATTGGTCACAGTTTAGAGAGCACGAAATCACGAATAAAAACAAGCATTAAAGCAAGGGGGATTGCACGTTAAAAGCATGCTCCACCTCATTCACACCATGTCCTCTTAAAAAGAAAAGTACTACTAGTATTGTTTGAGTGAAAAAAGATGCAAGTATATGAGGAAAATCACTGAGAATCGTTTGGCTTTCAAGCAAACCCATTATTACTTTTTTCTTTTAAAAACAAATTTCCCCTCAAGCTTTTCTCTTCATTGATAGAATTGGATTGCAACTTCCAATTTATATTTTAGAATACTTTTCTTTTCTTTTTTTTTTCCTTCTGAGTTTATAAATATCACGATGTACACATTTTTTTTTACATAAATGTGAGACCCACAAAGTAAAGCCAACATACATATAAAAAAATAGAGTTTAAACATTTAATTTAATTATTCTGAAATTGTGAAGCCCACATATTTCGATATAAAATCCACCATTTTAAACCAATAAGATAATATGTATTAATTATTCGCTTACATTGTCAATATATAAACTAATTTATTTTTAAAAAATTAATACACCAACAAAATATATTCCTTACATAAAATATTTTTTTTAATCTAAAAACTCTTTATCAATAACAATCACATAATAATAATTTTTTGAGATAATATTAAATACAAAAAATTAATATTAACAGAAATTAATATGATGGGGTGAGGAGGAGAGTGCATCAACCACACAGGTACTTGTCATGGCTTGCCCACTTAACTTAATAGTTAGTAATTTATTGTGACTAAAATGTTTAAAAGTTGAGTGTGTTCTCATCCTCCTTAATTGCACATTGGTTTGCATGCACCACCTTCTTTAATGTTATTAGTTGTTACTTCCTTTCCTTGTAGTAGTAGTAACTTATTTCTTCTTCATTTATTGACAAAACCACATCTTTTATTTAATTCTCTCTTCTTCTTCTATTAACTTTTCTTCTGTATTCAATTAATCAAATTTGCCCATTTTCATTGCTTTATAGATTTACATTGTAGTTGATGAGTTTGTTTAGCATAGATAAATAAATATTGGATGTGATAGTGATATTACGTGGAAGTAACAATGAGTATTATTGATTTGTGGTAAGGACCACAATATTATTGGGTGAGTGGGAGATAAGGGTTGACCACTTAATGCATTTGTGACTCTTTATTGACTAGTGATACCACATAAGATGGTGTCATCATTACACTTAATAATTTTTAGGACAGATCAGTTGGAGGCAAAATGCAATTTTTTTTTATTTTTTATATATACAAAAAAATTACATAGAAGGTTTCCTCAAATGAAAATTACATAGAAAGCCCCCAAATTACCAACATTGATAGTTAATGATTTAGAATTCATTTTATTTTTATTATAATTAATACAAGCCAAATTTAATTGTTTGATTATAACACAGGAACTTTTTGTAATGTACAATTAATTATATTTTGGTGATTGATAAATTTAAAAGTTCTTATGTACTTGGTTGTTGTTATCAATTTTGTTATTTATTATTATTATTATTATTTCAATCAGTAGGAGATATTTTACAATATCACAAGTTTACATCAAAATGAATGATTAATTATGTAAGAAAAAGCCAATAACACCATACAACAAACATACAATAAAGTACAAACTCAACAATCACTTAATCAAAAAAACACTAAATTTTACAACCATGCTCTACATAGACTGAGAATTAATTAATTTGAGGTTCTTGAAGGAAGGTATAAAATTTCAACATAAGTCACTAGTACTTTTTGAAAAATCCCCAAGCCCATCTTTTTCCTTTCTTTCTCTTTGCTTAACAAACTAACAAAAAGTTTTTAATTCGATTCTCTGTCTTTTCTTCATATATGCTATTTGGGTGTTTTATGATGGAGAATTATAATCTTTTCCCTTTCTTTTTCTTTGTTTTTTTTCTTGATCAACAAACTAACAAAAAAGTTCTCTACTCCATGTTTTGGTTTACCACATGATGTGTTGATTGGATCTATATAGTAGGGTGATGAAATGTGAAGTATGAGTATTTTGAAAAATGTGTCGTACTCGTATCAGGTACCTATATGCATATGAACCGGGTACACAAAATATGTATTCAAATTTTTTCTTCTTAATTTTTGGCATACTCAGACGTACTTAGTATATATCCAAACCGTACCGTACCTCAGTTGAAACAATATGTTCTTCTACTACCGATATAAAACTTCTTTCACTAAACTTCTTTTTTATTTTTATTTTTTTGCTTAACATGATTTTAAAATTAAACTATAGTTTGTAAGTTATTTAATATATTGACATTTAATTATGATTTATACATTTACTTTTGGCATTAAATGTTAATTATAGGTTGGATCTTAATAAATTAAACCATTTAATTAATTTTTGCATTACCCTAAATTAAAAATAAATATTTTTTTACAAGTGTACTACCAAGTCGTACCTGTACCCTATTTTTTTTGAATTTTACCATATCAACGTACTCATATCGTACCAGTACCAGTACCAGTACCAGTATTCGTACTCGTCCCGTGCTTCATAGGTGATGAAATAATAAATAATTTTTGATAAAAATAAAATATGGCGATCGTAATCTTATGGGAAATACTAAAAATAGCCTTAATGTTAAAAAAATGTGTAAAAATTGTATTGAAACGTATGAAAATGTTTTAGGATATGTGAAAAGTGTATTATATTAGAATTTTTTTGACATTTAGTATTTCTTATTGACAATTAGGGTTGTCATTAGCAATACTAATCTCACTTAGAATAATTTTACATATACTAATAATCTTACTAAAAATATAATGGGTACAAGGTAATTGGCTATCAAAAAACAATAATATTTAAACATCTAATGATATTTGTACATGTATACTTTTAGGCCCCCTTTAGGAACTTAGCAATTTTAGTTTGCTTTTTGACTATTTTACCGTGGCTAAAAAAATTGTATTTGGAATGATAATTGTTGTTGTTTTTTTATTTTTTTTTTTGTAGTTGATTTAATAGTTATAAGAGAAAAAGTGAAAGGACTATAGTTTAGATGTGACATTTTGTCTTATTGACTATTTTAACTTATTTTGTATTTATTAATAACTATTTGAGCCAAAAAAAACCATTCCAAAATAAGGTCTTAATAAGATTGTTAGCAAAAATTTGAGTAGATGTAACATTACTCCTAACCTTATTGTTCCCTTAAAC